ACTCGAAATGCGAAGCACACAGTCGTGATACACACTTTACCGACTCAAATAAACCGCATTACAATCATCATGAATCGTCGAATTCTCATGTTGGTATGCATGCAAAGCGTATGAACGTTTCTCACACACTCGTTGCAACTAATGAATCCAAAGGTACTAGTGCATCATCTAGTGTTGCCAGCTCAACAAAAGGTTGTCCATATTGTGGCCAGGCTCATTCGATTGCTTCATGTAAATCATTTATCGATAAATCTATTGACGAACGCATGGCAATAGTCAATGACAAAAGATGGTGTTACAATTGTTTGAAATCTTCGCATCAATTAAAAACTTGTGCCTCTGTATTTACCTGTCAGAAATGTAAGCGTAAACATCATACTCTGTTACATAAGGACACAATAAAATCGGTCAATACTGCATCATTATTGACACATAACTCGAGTGTCAATACAACTGTGCTGCTAGCAACAGCGATTGTTACGGTAAAGGACCGTCTCGGTAACATTCAAACTTGTGCATTGTTTGACACTGGCAGTCAGAATAATTTTATTACTGAAGAAGCAGTAAATCGTTTGAATCTTAATTTAGTTTCTTCTTCTTATTCAATTAAAGGCTTGGGTGACGTGTCAGCTGCAACTAGCGGTATAGTACGCTGTGTAATTGGAAGCTTATCGGCAAATAACACTGAAGTGTCATTTGAACATGACATGCACGTCATTCCCAAGATCTGTTGTGATCAACCTATTGCAAAACTAAACACTTGTGGGTGGTCACACATCGAATCATTAAATCTAGCTGATCCTGGGTTTGATATACCCGGCTCTGTGGATTTGTTACTTGGTGCAGACGTCTTCGCGGATTCGCTCCTTACCGAACGCATTAAGGGCGGTCCATCGCAGCCACAAGCATTTAATTCAGTGTTTGGTTGGTTATTATTAGGCAAAACTTTGTTATCATGTTCATCATTGGCCGCGTTGCAATCGAATGTTGAGTCAGAACATCATGTGAAATTGGTTGAACAATTTTGGGAACTCGATAGTGTACTACAAGCTAGGTCGTATACTCCTGAAAATATTCTTTGTGAGAAAGAAGATATCGCAACCACAACTTATGGTGTTTCTTCGACTTCCTATCTCGCTTGTCGTACTATTCAGCAGGTCGCGAGAGATGGAGAGGATTCGTTCTATCTAGCAAAAGAAACCGTCACATGCGATATTTATGTTGATGATATTGTCACTGGTACCGATACTATGTTCCAAGCTCACGAGTTGAAGTCGCAGGTTATTACTTTGCTCGAATCTGGTAATTTCGAATTAAGAAAATGGGCTAGTAACAAACCAGAGTTGCTGGAAGAAATTCCACCAGAGCATTATCTTGTGGAAGCTAAATCGTTTATCGATGCACAATCTTGTACACTCACGATTCTTGGTCTTAAATGGGATCCACTGCGTGATTCGTTTGTCTTTCACGTGCAACCTCTTAACAAAGCTTGTACCAAGCGATCCATATTGAGTGAGGTTAGTCGCATATTCGACCCGTTGGGATTTCTTTCTCCAGTGACTATTCATATCAAACTCCTAATCCAACAACTTTGGATAGCTGGCGTAGCATGGGACAAAACATCACCCGACAATATTGTTCGTATGTGGACAAATTATGTACAACAATTACCATCCATTCAAAATTTAATCGTATCCCGTCGTTGTACTGTTGTTCACGCAGTATCGTATGAGCTTCACGGGTTTTGTGATAGCTCGAAGAAGGCCTATGGCTTTGTCTTTAATTTACGTGTTACAGACAATAGTGATCGTATACATACCCGTTTTGTGTGTTCCAAAGCTCACGTCGCTCCTTTGAAAAAACTAAACATACCACGTATCCTCCGAGCACTTTCATTAAAGTGGACTACATTTGTTGCCAACAGAGTCAGCCACATACAAAGTATAGTACCTATTGATCAGTGGCGACATGTTTCCACACATGACAACCCCGCAGATATTTGCTCACGAGGCCAGTTTCCTCAACAACTTGTTGACAATTTTTTATGGTGGGCGGGCCCCACATGGTTACGTAAACCACACACCGAGTGGTTATCATCTTCTGCATCTATCACTAAAATTGATGATAACATAATATCTATAAGACGAAACATCACGTTATTAGATCAACAAACCGCACCGATTAATCCAAATCTCGATCCTTTTTTAGAGGAGTTACTCAATAGCGATCTATCATTAGATGCTATTATTGATAAAATTGCCTATGCCGTCATTCGAAAATCTGATACTACAGATTCAGTGTTATCAAGCGATGAGCGATACCAATCACTTCTTATCCTCGTAAAATATGTTCAATCCTTGTCGCTTTCTATCGAAATTGAGAAAATTCGTTCTAAACAATCGTTGCCTAAATCATATCGTAAGCTCAGTCTATTCATTGATAACCAGGAGGTGCTCAGAGTGGGCGGTAGAATTTCTCGCTCTGAACTCGCATACGAACAGGTACATCCAGCATTATTACCATCTAATAATTCGTTTACATCGAAATTAATTCAATCGGTTCATTTGAACAATTGTCATTATGGTATAAATACTACACAATACTTAATATTACAACAATTTTGGATAATATCGGCTAAACGCGTCATTCGACGCTATTTATCGCAATGCATTAATTGTTTTCAAATTCAACCTAAACCGTTACAATCTTTCATGAGTGACCATCCTAAAGATCGCGTAAATCAAGTAAAACCACGACCTCTGGTAAGGCTATGTCCTTTACCAAATGAACCATTCTAGTAAATTATTCTCATTTATCATATATTTATTTATTTAATTATATATTGTCATTAACAAGTAGTGTATGTATCATATCGTTGTATTCAATTTTATCTTAAGTTATAGTATCGTTTTTGTCTTTGTTAAGAAAATTACTATCGAATTTTGGTGGGCGGAATTATGTATCGTCCCAAACGGCGCTTCAATCGATCGATTATTCGATTCATAATCGAATGTCCACACCTCGCGGATATGAAGCGACTACATTATTATTAAGTTGGAGGGCAGTTAGTGAACTTGTCCTTGCACTCGGCTTGAGATCACGTACCGTCGCGAATCAAGAGCATAACCGAACAGTGATCTAGGAGATCATCAAATTACAGATAAAATATTGTGTATTTAAAGATTTGTGTAGGCCTACCAATCAAGAATTTATAACAGCATCCAGTCAAAGGTGGAAAGCAGTGCGGCGCATGAGATTCCTTCAAGTAAGTGCACGTACCTTCTTAAATATTGTAATCGCTTCATCCTCATTATCAGAAGTAAGGACAAACGTATTTCCACCGCTTAACGGTGTCCCTACAAATGGCCTTACCTACTTTAAAAGGAAACCAACTAACCTAAACTAGCTAAATATATCCCAACCGGACTTTTGACATGCCTATTAAACTTAGTTATGCCTACGGGGGCAGATGCCCTACACGTAGATAGGGCTCCATGCTGTACGCTGCAAGTTATCTATCTAGATGTCTGATAGCGATCGGTCTCCTTCGAGCGGCGCACCGAGCGGAACGTTGGCGCCACTAATGCGATCAAGGGATCCGATTTATTGGTTGTATCTCTACATCGGCTTAGTACACCTGTACTGTTCTGTACCCAGCTCAATATAAGCTCGGAATAGCCAAGAGAACATTTATTGCATATTGCGTAACCATCGCGCTTACCAATTACTTATAGCTCTCCTATACCAATCGCTTCTAAACTCTCTACCGCATAAATTGAAACGAATTTATTTATCTACGTGCTCTTGAACTTGCGCTGACTTACGACATGATTATCAATAGCTTAACATCTAAACCGTTGTCCGTCTCATCAACCGATAGCGGTGTCATATCGCTCTCGTAAGACCTCCGCGAATCTGTTTGCGGTTTGCGAATTTCTCCGGGACCTTGAATTTACACTTGCTCGTTGGCTTTCTCGTTAAGTGAACTTTTAACTTCGCATTCGTTTCCTATCTGGGTATCTATTGGACATTATCAAATGATCGCACGTCTGTGGTTGCAGACTGCATGCTAGGCCGGAACTCTCTCCATTGCCTACCCTGTCCGATCAATATTAGTCAGACACTGACAGCAGCTGAGCTCGCTTGCACCAGCCCGCCGTCCGTCGTCCGTCGTGACACTCGGACAGTGAAAACAGAAACTCATTAGAGCTTTTAGCGACATGTATAAGAAGTATAGCGTGCCAATGTGACGTTATCTTGTAGCTATGATCTATGAAAGTGTAAACAATTGTAGGCAAAACATATCCCTCTGGAGGATATATCAAAGCAATTCCATTGAGTATTTATTTTGACTTATACAGTCTTGCGATCATTGAATTAAAAATCAAAATGATTATGCGACTTTATACTTATCTTGCGTTTGTTCATTTTTTCATATAACATAACATAGTATTACCATTTTTAACAATTCTCTAAAAATTGATGGTGAAAACCTTCAATTTGCCTGTAATTTTTTAAGTAATTGTTATGCAATGTTTTGTTAATTCTTATCGAATTTTGATAAATGTTATAATCAATACAGTATACTCTGCCATATTTATGATACTGTTCATGTCTTTCCAACAGATGGGCCATCAGCTTGTTTACTATTCTAAGTTCTATAAAAAAATCTCTTTAGGTCACAATACTAATAAATTTTGTCGTAATTGAAATATTTGTTTTTTTTTTTTTTTTGCGAAACAAAATCTCCTTGTTTTTTACAAATAAAGATCAATCTGTTCATTCGAATCAAGCGGTCGTGTGAAACAAACAAAGATACATTGATCTCTTCGTCCATGTATAGTGTGAAATACTTCCAAGTGGATTGCGGTGCATTATGGTTCTTATACCGTAAAGTTGTTCTATGGAATTAACTTTCATAACAGCAGAAACTTTCAAATGGAATATTAGAAAATGTATTGGTAATGAATATGAGGCAAAGTGAAATTATACAACTGTGGTCTAATACTTATGTATTTTTATTGTTCTTATAATAAGTAATATCGTACAACATAATACCTATTTTCAAATATTATAAAATTCATTTTATATTTACATTTTACCATTTTAGCTCTAGTGCGAGGTGTATGATAACACAATAACATTAATATTTACAATAAACACTGGGTTTATTTACAGATACATCAATATGGCTGCGAATTCAATCGCCAATTCAATACTCATAAAGAAATTAATTAATATATGTACATTAATATAGTTTTTAGATAGGCACCGAGCAATTACATAGTACAATACATTGTCATGTATTACTAATTTTAACAATAATTCTAATAACAAGGACAGTCTGTGGGCTCAAAAATATAAATAAATAAACTTAGTTTAAATGCTTAGTGATGGCCTTTTCTTTCTCACACTCTTGCTATTCTTCCCGAATATCGTGCCGATAACCTGTTGAGTAATAAATAATGTTAATAGATATTAAGTACAACATGTTTGATTTCTAACCACTAAACCGTTAATGTATATTCGATACCATTATTTTATTAATAAGAAAAAAATCGAGGGTGCAACTACTTTTTAATATTAATATTTGTTTTTTATTAGAAACATATAACGTAGAAAATTCTTGCTGTGTGCATGTTACTTAAAAATTAGTATCTAACATACGTAGATATTCTATAGACGTTACAATGGATTCATGTAAAGATTTTGTCTAACAACTCATTAGACAATATCTACTATATTTTACAGAAAATGGTGAGAAACCCCAACAAATGTATTTTTTGTGAAGAAAATATTATGACCGCTTTTTTGAGATAAAAAAGAGTATAGAATACATCATTAATGAGTTCAAGATTAAAAACCAAACACACTACTAATATTGTAATACAGAATGGATTATCTCAATATAAATAGCTATTACGTAATTCTATAATATACAAGTATTCTTAAAATGTGAATAAAATTTGACCCTTAAAAATAACATTCTAACTTCATTAGATAGAAAATCTTAAATATGTACACATTATAAAGACATAAAATTTTGTAAATTTTCAATTAAAACGTGCCTTCGAAACGGAATAGGCGGCGAGCTTCCGCCGAGGTGCTGGTAGCAGAAGCGCGAGAGCGCGCGCCTCACGCAGAAGCGCATGAAATGCGAGCGCTGCGCCCGCGCACGACTCCGCAGCGGAGACCTCATAGAACTGGCACCCGAAGCGAAGAGATAACTCCTGACCCTCCTCTGCATGGACCTCCCTTTACGAATTTTATTTGTTATAGTATTGTTTATTATCACACCAACAAAATAGCTTTGATGAGTCTAGCATGTATTTCAGGCACCCATAAGATAGGCTACGGTAAAACTTTACCATCAGATAAGTCCTTATGCTTATATGCCATTATTGTTAATGTAAAAGTTTTTAAAGATGTTTGTTTCTCAATAATACTAAAATTGAATTAAATTTGGTGGACTATGTGGAACAACGTACCTTAAAGAAAAAGGTATTTGTTGTCTATCGTAATTTACACAAAATTCTCAACAAATTACATCTAATGTAATACTGAAATAAAAACAAAATTCAGGCAAAGGAGTTCGGTGGGAAATAGGGAATTGAATACTTTATAAGATTGCTCACCTGGCGTGTTCGAGGTCACGTTTATTCCCCAAGAGGGTGACGGCCGCGCAGCCCGGGAGCCTCGTTCTTTCGAGCAGCGAGAGCAATTCAGCCGCCGCGAGGAACGATCGCCTCTCGCAGACCGAGTATACAACCGCAAATGCATCTCCCCATCGTACGTGCTCAGCCAGACAACCGCGAATCTATGAACAAATTACATAATCTATAACAAAGCAGGGATGCCCAAGATATCACGCATCGACTATCGGTCGACCGCGAAGGCAATATAAAAATAATAAAAATGAAATATGATTATTTCATATGTACTAAGCATTCGCTTCATAATTCATGCGATTAACATGAGAAAAAATTAGATACATTGAATGGTTAAATTAAAATTACTGGTACGTCTTACAAAATGTTTTATTTAACCTCTTCAAAACTAAAGATATCTACAGCACAGTCGACCGCATGAAATATTTAAGTGCAAAATGCAAATAAATCTCCCAGTTAAAAGTTTGATCACCTTGACCTATAGTTATTATCATTGGCTACAATTCTTATTACTAATTCTTTATTTTTCATTTCATAACACAAATAAAATCAACAAACGTAAACAAATTCTTAATAAAAATAAATAATCAAGGATAAAATACTTTGGCACACGATTCCTTCTAGCTACTCTGCAAAGCAATAGTGAACTGTAGGCGTAGTGATATAATTTCCCATGAACTCACATACAGAGAAAAATACACACAAAACTCGATAGAAAATATTTTAAGCATTCACCACTACGAAAAGCTAATAAGGAGGTGGTAGATAAAACATGACAGAAACGTTCTTATAATGCGTACCATATCAAGAAACACTTCTATATTTGATTCATAACTGCAAACCATCCACTTAATATTTTTAATTATTAGCTGAGACTTCGCTATGAGTATAAACTAATCCAATTAACTCCGAGTATCCCTTATAGTATCGTAAGAGGCGACTAAGGGAATTTAACAGTCGAGGGATGGACAGCCTCTTTAAACATCACCAAAGCTATTGCTATTTACCAGCACCATTGCTAACAATATATCCTGTCAGGTAAATCTCCCCGCGGTCCCCGCTGGAAACCATCGTGCTGAATTCTAAATGTACTTATCATGGGCTAATTTACCTGCCCTTTCAATCTACCTATCATCCCTCACTGATGCCTCGCTAGTGTATACCGTTAGCACAAGCGGAGTTATCATTCCATTATCATCCATTAAAAAAAAATATCACCAAATCCTAACTGCGATTGCCAACCCGTCTTCCAAGCATGGCAACTACTAGTAAAATCTAAAGGGGATAAGGAAGACCTATCAACAGTGAACAGTTGACAGCTGGAATAATAATAATAATATCTCATAGCAAAAACTTCAACAGCCAAATTAAAGTAACCAGATTTAATAAATTTCTCTATTTTCGGCTTTCGTTTTAGTATTGAATATTATAAACACTACGTGCGTTTAAAATACCACTCGTCGTCTATAATAACCCTCCACCATTAACTTAGGATTAAACAGAACATCAAAGAAAACGTCGTTTAGGCACACCTAATCCAACAAGAAAAAATAACAACAAAATAAAACTTAGTCGCCAATCAAATAAATCATGCTTTTGTTAATATTTACATTGTACGTTAGTGTCGAACACTAGAAGAAAAATCAAGCATTGCATAATATCAAGTATTAATAATAAAAACAGTTATTTAAAATGATACTCTCATATGGATACTTATGACTCATTACAATCGCCCGCGACTTTTTGAACTTTTTTAAATTTGAATAAGTTTGCTCTCTTTAATTTTGTGACAGATTTATCGATCCCGTTTAAATTCCCGTTAGAATTCTATAATGAACAGTATCTGTTCCACATTTATACAATTCCATGTTCAAATAAACAAAGGAATAAAATGTTTACGTATCCAAAATAAACACAAAATGAAATAGCTTTAAAAACTATTGTTTTAGTTTCATTATAGACAAATAATCTATGATCAATGTGGTTAATTTTTACTTTTAATTACTTGACACATTCAATTTCATAAAAGTTTATTTTATAAATATCCAGAAATAACAAAACGAAAAGCTTAGTTAGATTATTCATTATTTTCTTTAGAGTATTACCATATCGCAGTTATGTAATATAAAACGAAGATATAAGAAGAATTCATCGTTTTGATTTATTTCTATTGCCGACGTTATCTTTGACTCTAACAAATTACCGGATATCCTCAAACATTACTCATACTCATATAAGGATGGATTAGTCTCATTAGTTAGATAAAAACACATTTGAATTCTGTTTACTAAAAGAAATTTAATAAAATCTATCAATTTTATTACTCACCTTCTAAAATATAAAATATATTTAAAAACTTGAGATTAATATTCTCAGATTCATTAGTATGAGTTTTATAATAGTTAGATTGCTTAATAATTACCATTACTTAATAACATTTATCATAAGACATAACAGACTGAACCCATAAAAACATCGAAGTTCACTAACTTTATTAGCACAATAAACTTACAAAACAAGTAACGCTCTACAACGGGGCCGGTCGCTGCATCGAACGAAATTTATAAGCGATTACGCAACCAAAACATCGAGTTCATTTTATTCTTTTAGTGCCGTTATGCATTCGATTATTAAAATGTTTAGTCGGAAAACATTGTTTATACAAAGTTCATCAGCGTAGGTTTAAGTTAGTTGTGCCTGGAGGCCGAGTGTAGAACCGATCGCATCTGATAAACCTCTGCGGAGGCCATAAACTTTGTCTAATTAAATTGTACAGAGCATCAGCCGCCTACTAGCTGCGAGCCAGACGTAGATTACATCTCTATTGTTTATAAATTAAGTTTGGCTTTGTCTATAACTTCATCTACCTTTACGATGGTACATACCTACATTAAATTAAAAGAGGTTACTTCCGATTGTCAGTACAGTCGGCATAATGTTGATAGTTTTGTCACTACATAGTAAGCTAGAGATACCTGCAATTTATACTGCAATAAAATCTAAACTCTAAACATGAATATATATATATATATATATATATATATATATATATATATATATATATATATATATATATATATATATATATATATATATATATATATATATATATATAAAGTAATAGATCCCAATCTGCCATTTATAAGGTTCATTTTAATCTATCTTTATTAAATATTCTTGAAAAATTACTAATCATCATGTATAATCTGTCATAACATTGACACGCGCTTATACCCACTTTCCTACTTTTGTAGTTGAAGAGTCAAATTCAAAACACGTCTATAAGCGAATACTTAAAAGTCTTTGACATCATTTTCAAATCAAGCATTATTAATAAGTAACGTTTACTAGAAGTAACGATATATTGTTTATAAATTAGCAAAAGGTTAAACTTCATTTCTATTGCGGTGGCAGACAAGTAGAAAGAGTTTACCTGTCAACTAATTTTCACCAAACGAATACTATAAACATGCGTAAATTGTGTTTGTATCTTACCGCGCAATTAGAAGTGTCCAGTATTTCTACTTCGGATACGGCGCCGTCGAAAGCCACTCGATGTTGATAAAGAAAATCTGAAACAATACGTTTGCTGTAGAAACAGTAAGGCATAATAATTATCTACTGAAGTAGATTTATAGAAATTGCTCATTGATAGAGATGGAAATGGAAAATGAGATTAAAAAAATAAAGAACATAGAAGAGAAAAATGTTACAGTATACCTACATAATATTTATTTACTTTATAATAAGATAACAACGGAAGGATAATCTGCAATATTGACTTTTTAAATACTTATAAAGAAATGCTAAATAACTACTAAACAAAAATTGAAGGAGTAAAGAAAGAACGAGTTTTCGTTCGCTTGATCTAATAACACTTTATCTATAAATTATCTAGAACACGCAATAACCACTATTCCACGATGAATACTATAACTTGTTATGATATTGATATACATTAATATAATTGTATAATTTCTATCTAATAAAGAAAACGACTGTCATAAAAATATAAACAGAAAAATATTACGGAAAATTACGAACAAATTACTTTTCATTACAACGAATTCTGGTTCCTAACATAATAAAACCATCATTTTCATACAAAACAAAAAATATGTTTTACATGTACTGTCATGAATTTGAGAAAATTTAAAAACCAGTCCTTATCATGTAAAAAGAATCATGACAAATTCCTCTAACTAGCAAACAAATTCCAATAATATTAGCTATATTTAAATTCACGATCGGTACTTAACGTGACACGATTAGAGTGTAAATATGTGTAAACAACGCGAAGCTTTGCAATTAAAATGAATTATTTTTAGAGATAAAAAGAATTAGTTGAAAACTAAATAACTCCAGAGGTAATAATATTAAACAAAATTAAAGGGAGCATGATTTAGCCCCGCGGCGGTCTTGTAGATACATCATTTGATCGTTAACCACCATGTACGACGTGATGTTTTAATTATAAATCGATAGAAAAAATGTTAATACCTCGCGTTGCTCGAGTTAACTGGGACGAAAGATGATTCAATTAAGTATTTAAGTGCAACTCACCGCCTGTCGAACTGTACTCGCCGATGTATCGCTTCGTTAGGTAACGCACCACCACAGCTGCAACAAACAAAATAACAAGATAAAAAAAATGATAAAAACTCATAATAGTATTTCATTTCACACAGTGACATCGCCAGTGTAAAAAATTATACCAATTTACAAAATCGTAATATTTTATATTGCACAATAATAATAATGCACGGTTATTCATATAAAAATAGAAAAATGTAGGTACACTGAATTCAAGTGAAATATAATAAGTCTATTCTGGTAAAGAAAAATCGTCTAATATAATGTTCAGATTGCAATAAGCTCATCAAGGGTACTCATAAATAAAGTCGTAAGTATACTAAAAGGTTAATAACCCCAACTTTCTACCAAAGAACGATTTCTTTGATTAGTCTTTTCATGGGCGTACCTTCTGGAATTCCCATCATAAAGCTTGTATACCATACAAATAGTTATCATCAACAATGACGTGGCAAGTTGCGTGAATAACTATCGGGAGGCTACCGAACTGTGGAGAATCCTGGCCACATCAAAAGGAACAATTCTATTCAAAAGGCTGATTGCTTGCCGCTTTGGAAGTACCTACCTGGGGTACGTACTTGGCCCTTTGAAAGATGATTACAGACGATACATTGTAATGGAAAATAACAACAAAACAGAAATAATCTCTATTCGAAGCCTCTGTACTTAATGGATTTTTTTTTCGTATACGGTCATTACGTATGTCTTAATTATAATGATACTTCGATTCTATCTGAAATAGATTATAAAAAAAAAGTTTATATAATCGCGGAATAATGTCTTAAAGACTTCAACGTTTACCCTTGTGCGCATACTTCTCTAAATAAATTAATGTTTACTACCAACACATGAAAATAACGATTCACAAAAATAGTTCAACTAAAAATATTCATATTTCTTTCTCGACCTTCTCTCTAAAAGCGTATCAGAAGTTAATTTTTAGTTTTCTAATTCTACTTCATTTCGTCATCTAGAGATCCCGATGGAGCTATCAACTGACCATTTCTGTCGAAACGAGGTCCAAAACAGTTGCACAATATATTCAAGTATAGAAGTTTATGCAACTGCAGCACGCAGTGTCGCATGACAATGGACTTGGAATTTATTCCATCTGCATACTAGTTCAGAGCCTGATAGGAAATCAATTGCATGATGTATATATGAAGATTAATATACTATTACGTAAGGAACGGGATAATATTGCGTAGTGGATTATGAAGAAAGAAATACGAAGACTTCGTGGTGACCGATGTAATGATAACCTAGTTTTAGTTTTCAATAACAACAAAGTTATACTCATCCAAAAACATCTAAATTGTGCATTAAATATATTGTTACACAAAAAAAAACATGATTCAAATTATTCTACAAAAGGTATACTAAAACTGTCCAAAATATAATGATATTGACTTAAATAATAACTACATATACTATATAACATTCTGACAGTTTGATTACAAATATTACTAGATGGTCTAACCATCTGACTAATTTTTTTTTTTAATATTTTTAGTGTTGTTTTTCTAGTTTCTAATTGTGCACCTATTTAGGGTTTTTATATTTATCATATAAATATGTTCTACTAGCATCCCTGCCTAACATATTTAAAAATAGAACCTAAAGATATGTCTACAATGAAATGTTATATTTATAATATTAAGAACATGTTGTAAACATAAAAAATATTGCTCGAAACTATTCACTAGCTGTTGAATACTTTCGATCAATAAAATATGTTCAGAAAAATTATCATATGTGCATCAAAAGAACGTTGATGACCATTATAAAACATCAAACTATAAATGAGTCATTATGAAGCCTTCATGTACAGTATTACCACACACTGTAGGTACATACTGTGTGGTTTATGAAACACATGCAAAATTCCACACTCTCATTTTTTTTTCCTTTCGATTTTTTTACCGTGCGCAATCGGTATTAAATACTTTCTCTGAGGTCCGATTACTAAACGTTGACGATAAAATTTCATATGTTAATACATTATAAAATTTAAGTAATAGGTATATTAAGAACCGTGGCCTCGTATGACCGTGTGGTCCCGACATAGAATAGGCTACCCCTTCCTTTCCTGAGGGTGTCGTAAGACATGACTATGGGAAGACGAGGAATGGGCAGCAGCGTGCCTTTAAAAACATCTCTAAAGCCTAACTGCCAAGCGTGGCACCTACTGGCAAAACACCCCAAGGGGGAGGCTTGTGTTGATGATGATATTAAGAACGCAATTTTGCTCGAGTGTAGGACGACCCCCCATTAGTTGACAGAGAGTGACAAACTCAAATGTATTGCGGAGAATCAGTGGATGCATACTCAAGATCGTTCCTTATGGCTGTCTATGGGAAAGGCCTATGTTCAGCAGTACACAGATAATGGCTGATATGATAATTACTCCAGTACTTGTTTGAGATTGTCCTATGTTTATCTTGTAATTAAATCAATTTTATACGTATTTTTGATACATAAATTATATTTATTATCCCATACAAAATTGCGTAGATCAACCTGTCATCGCACCGATCGCATGACTTGAATGATATTAATAATATTAAAAAGTTTTTTTTTTTAGGATTAGATCGTAAAAGTTAAACAACATAATAATCTAAAACTTTACATTTAACGATGCATATAAGACAAATTACGATGATCAAATAACATGGCACCACGTGGGTTGATAGATGGTATGTTATCAGACAAAACAATGGATGCTGTATCGACAGGAATCTATGGGGTAATTAATAGATTATCGATCTCATCCATCAAAATGACCGACGCTGCTTTATTGACTCGGGATAATATAGTATAAAATTAACATTAACAATTATGTATTGTTAATAATATTTTATTACATAATAAAAAATTTTACATGAAGATGGACGGCTATTAAATTATAGATTAAATCTAGATTTTAATTTTACTTTTACTTACTTTGATTTTATTAATGTATATAAAAATGTAATAATTTATGAAGATCTTCGAACATTTGATTTGAATAACAATTTAATATACAGACAGATCATAAAACCACCATTATCATACTCTTTATTATTTTTTATGTGTTTGTTTAACATGGAGTTTTTACTTTAATTCACGCTAGCAAAGCTGCAAAATCCTACTATACTCATATATAAAACCAAACACAATATATAGTAGGTAGAGTTTTCTAGAACAAAAAACCAGATTCTCAAAACAACACCAGCAATCGTAAGTCGTTTGCTTTAATTATAAATATTCCCACAGGTATACATAACCGGGATAAAGTATTTAATATTAAACCGGGATCTCGTTTATGTGTATACCAAATACCCAAAGCCACGTGGTTAAATAACAATATTTACACATCTAGATAAACATTTATATTTACAATATAAATAGAACATATACAGAAATATATATAGGTCATCCAATCGATTAAAGATAATATCAGTGTAATGTCAATACTGACCACGAATTGCAAGTATGAAACGTTTTATCAAAATCGCAGCCCTCGATCATGATGAGGTCGTCGCACGAAACTGAGATGCAACGGTCGGCGGCGTGGTATCCGATTGAGACTTCACTACTCGCCGCGCCACGGTCACCGGTTTCTTGTTAACATTGCACCGCGGCAATTTCAGGACATGAGCACATTTAAAATTTTGGCTTAACGATCAACATTTCAGGTTTCTATAACAGCCACATGTCTACAGTGACGTCACTACTTTTTCTGTTTAAATTGCGAAAGTTCATTGGCCGTGCAGCAATAAGGTAATCCATTTCTGAGGAAAACAAGCGCTTGCACTGTGTGCGTTAATTGAAATGTTTTATTAACTCAAAATAATTGACATTTAACTACTTCGGTTTAAAATGAAAGACTATAGAAAGAGAGAATAATAATCACGGAGTGTTCAGGAACGTTATATTTTTAAGAGCAGCTTTAATGTGACCTGGATTTTTTAACGATAAGTTCAATGGAAGAATCCTGTAATTGCTTCAAAGAATATCGGTAACGAAACTCCTTATAACCGGTGTACATAACCAGAGCGTGTGAAGAATTACTTCCAAAAATAGCACTCTGAGCAACGGGGATGGCTAAAGAGGTGTGTACACTGGCATTAAATGATGTTAGTCGGCCTTAGATCCGTGAGCCACTCCCAGCGAATAACGTAGACAGGATCTACTTTAAAAACAATTTCGCATGTCGGAGCCGCGAGCTGCTGTAATGAATTGCAAACGCATGCGTCGCGGCTGCGGCCGGTCCGTCAACCGTCAGCCGGCCGACAATTAGGGCGGTGCAATTACAACCAGTCGACGGCGACTCGGCCGGTGGGTCAACGGCGCGATTTCCCGACGACCGACTACGACGCCTGGCGCCAACAGACGACGTTGTGTAACGTTTAAACGTCCGAGCAGCCATTAACGCCATAGTCGTCGAGGTTGTTGCTCTACAGACGTATTTACGTTATGTTGCCGATTGTAATACCTGCATGCTATTAACGTGTCTGAAATGTTTGAATCGCGATTCCGGATTCACTAAATGTGAAGGTAAGTAGTCTCGTAAGCGTGGACACTCAACGTCGGTTTGGCTTTGCACAAGCTTATAACTTGTGCAAAGCAAACAAAATACTATCTATATAGACACCATCTTTTTAGTTGTTGTTTACTTGTTCAAATAAAATATTGACTAAACTAAGAATTAAGATTCAAGCTGTATGAATTAAATCCAGACAGAAATTCCATATAATAAATATAAGTCAACATAACAATTCCTACTAGCGATCAAAGGCAAGATGATTTTGCCTGTATGTCTAAATATCTATTATTTCTTTAAAACATGTTAAAATTTACGATTGTATTGTATGAAAACAATTAAGTATGATAAAGCTAATTTGCATTTATTTTTTATTTCTCTAAGAACGACACGTTAACGGACCACGTGATAAAAACGGTAAGGTAACCGTTGGCTAAAACAACACTGCAGCCATTCAAGAAAATAATGTCAAAGACATGTAATCGCTTGAGAAAAATTACATACATACATACATATCTGTCACGCCTGTCTCCCATTAGGGTAGGCAGAAACAATGGAACGCCAAATGCTTCGATTCAAAAATTACATTCCTATGTATATATAAAATAGCCACTCCTGAAGTCTGAGACGTATCCTAAACTATACTATTAAATGCATCCACTACTTAGATTAGTCTTCGAAATAGCCCTTATTCTTACATAATCAATTTTTTTTTTCTTCTTTCATTACATAATCAATTTCATTCTTTGCAGGTTATTTTATTTAAATTGTCCAGGAGTTCCATTTCTATATATATATATATATACCATATATATATACCTACAACTACAGGAATCAAACTAGATAACAAATTCATATCTATAAATTTAACAGTAAGTATTAAAAAAAATTTCACAACACAATAGATTTGGAAATCAAAATAATATTATATTATTCAGAAAATAACATCTGCATCAACTTAAGACAAATAAGAACATGATATTCGAGAGCTTGTGAGTTCTATATTAGATCACATCATCGCTTTTCAACAGGTGAGATCGTAGTCAATCGCGGAACGTTTCAATAGTAAAAAAAATCAAATTTCTACCAAACACAACAATTGTACTCTAACAACACTTAGGTATATGGCTAATGTATTTCTTCAGTACTGTTGACTCGAATAAATATTAAATAATGTACAGCTCTGAGTGTGTTGACTTTTTCAAAAATCACTTCTCTGGAAACGTTTTGTTATTCCGAAGTTACGTAAAATACGTAATCTCAGCTTTTACTAATGGTTGGTTAAAATAATACTTTTTAAACCACTGACAGGGTAACAAGTCATACAGCCCACCTAAATATTACCTAGTAAATGGTTATTAAAGCCACAGATAAAATAAAATACTAACATAATGAACGCTTTGTGCGCACGTTATCGACTAAGTACGAGTATTGATACCTACCAATATATTCAATAAAACACGCAAGTAAAGACTAAATAAAAATTATACATAGCGTAAGTATATATACAGTATAAGTTCTTTAAAAAGATAGTAAGACGGTTTCTTAGGATTGGGAACACTCACGTGACAATCTTGGCGTTGCAGATATCCATAGGTCGGCTACGATGATTGTTTACCTCAGAAAGACCGTAAACGTACTTCCTTGTCTCTTTTAATCTACATCTTTGACACCACAGTAGTATAAAGAATAAGTCTGTGTATTATACATAAGGACAACGATTACCACCTTCTAACAAGAGGTTCATTAAAGGCAGAGGAAGAGGCCTATTTGACTGGTGCCCTAAGAAATGCGAGCAGAGCTTTTAGACAACAAGATATATTATATAATATATTTAAAAAATAGATTAGTCAGCTAAAAGTAATTATGCATCTTTAAGGGAGTAAAAGGGGTTGTTAGTAATGGGGATTACCAACTCTATTGCTAGCAATATCCCCTATCAGGTCGACGTCCTCGTGTTTCTCCCTGGAATACACCGTGACTGATTTATTGTCGAATTCGTCACGATGAGCTAACTAGGCTGTTTTATCCTCACCTATCATTCCTCACTGATGCCCTCTTCAGTGTTTATATAGCAATAACGCAGGCGAGGTTACTATTCAATTATCATCCGTTAAAAAATAATGCGCTTTTTAAGGCGTCCAGCCCCCCACGAAATATTTACATCAATGAGTGAATTATATCTTAGTTGCTAATCCAAATGGTACAGTATCTTTTATTATAACATTAATTTTCCTCATTATAATTATAAATATATTATAACAATTGTATAAAAATTTAATATAGTATCTGATCAAAAAAAAATTTAACAACCTGTGATTGTACCTCCTATTGCCTTTTAACGTAAGAATTGTACGTTATTTTTTTCTTTTTTATTATCTAGTAATTTCAATATATACATTTAAAACATAATATTTATCCGTAATTTCTTCGGTCAATTTGTTTTAATCTACTCTCCTCAGGCAGTAATGATCTAGTAGTAATTATGTTACCTATATACCAACTAACCTATATCAGTAATATAATAAAATAAGCAATTTATTTTGTAAGCCTATTTTTTAACACTAAGTTTGTTAGAATCGTTTCATTAATCATCATCGTATTCGAATTAGATTATGATTTAACTAATTATGACAAAAAACTTACCTAAATAAGTATTTATAAACTTTAGTTTAATTTACCATTTTACCAATGTGAAAATAATATTTTAATTACATGTAAATTACACTAATATGTAATATGTAAAAACTTGTAATAACACATTGTATTGTAAAATCTTTATTATATATAATTTATACTGAAATATACACATTTTAAGGATTTTTATCATTTCTCATAAATATTATTCATAAAATAAAGCAATATAATTTTCAGTAGTATCCAAAATAGAAAATAGACCAGTTCTTTTTCACTTTTTGCAATAAAAGAAATTAAATATTATAATTAAATACAACACTTTTCATCCTCAATTACATCAAAGCTGGTATTTTGTATTAATAATAAGCTTATTTTTACGGACTTGGTAGAATATAGTTTTGCGGACTTGAATTTAGTAGAAATAAGTTTCTAATTGAAAAGAAGAATTATAAGCAGAATGAGGCTAACCTATATTTTTTCTAATAAAAATTCAAATGGGTAAATTTCTTTATGTAAAACTATAATTAAAATACATTTTGTTAAAAACATGATATTATAATATGTATTTGATAATTTTTAATACCTAGCTATATAAAATAAACACGAACAAAATTATATTAGGTATAAAAAATAATGGATGAGTTTATCGGTTGCACAATTACCTACGTACCTAATACCAATTCCCCAACGTTAATTTAATAAATAGTAACAAAAGACAACATGCATATCTATTACACATTAAAATTTTAAATTTTATTTCCATAAAAGAACAATAGATTTTAAACTCTCCCGTAACTGGTCACAAAATTTAACAGCGCTTCTTTAACTGCGTGCTTCAGAAACATACGAACGCCCAAATATTTTTTTATGATGATTTTATTTTATCATTATTACCTACATAAATAACTCACTTTCTAGAAGGTAATGTTTGCAATTTAAAAATATATTAATCGTTCCTTTAATACTTTCCATATTAACTTACATTACATTATCAGACTATAAAAAAAAATTAAGTGCAATCAATGTTTATAGGAGACTACAGGGTTGATCGATAATAACATACTGACTCGATGCGTATACACCGACAACATATTAATTTTCAAATTATTTTTTATACAGTATTATACTCTACCATAGCTAAATCAAAAGCCGCTATCGTAATCATTTTTATTTTTATGGTTTTACTGTAGGTACCGGCTTTATGGTTACATAAAATAATATACGCATATAGTTTATATTACTTTCAAAAAGAAACTTATAAACGTATAAGTTTGCACCAATTAGAATTACAAATAATTACAACATATCTGGATAAGATACTTATATAAATTATATACCTACATATATAAGTAATTACTTCTTTTTAATTTAAGTATAAAAAAAGCAATAAAAACAAAAGTAATCGTAATTATTTAGAACTTTTATTGTTCCACTAGACTTATTAGGTTATTAATGTATAAATTAAAAAAAGGTAATGAACTTACAATTTTTATAAAAAAAACTTAAACTTAATTCATGCATTAGCACCAATCGGGATCACAAACTTAACGTACTACATAAATGCAACATTTATAAATTAGTAATCTGAACTAGAATTAAATTACACGCAAATATTAATTAAATAAATACTAACCAGATTTACCACTGCGTGGACTCCCAAGCACCACCACCCTTATACGGTTCACTGTCATCTTCATTTGGACAGACTTGTTTTTTCCCGATTATTGCGTCGAAATATCATTCAATCGAACATAATGTCGGACCGATGTGTTTACCACATAAATCTAATCATCACTGTGTTCACAGTTCACATGTAATAAAAATTATTTATGTTAAATATCGTAAATAATTTCGAGACAGCAAATTATCGTGGGGTGCTATATCGGAGCGCCGTCCACTCGACCATCTGCCGCTACGTTTCCCGCGCAACTGCCGGCATCTCAGAGTGAGCTCTGTTTGTATGAAGAGACGCGTGCGCAGCCTCCGACCGCATACATAATATCTACTTATCATTCTATATATAGACAATATTATAGTACACTGACCTAATCACATTATCTCTATGTTTTAAATATAAGGCTCCACTTGACATATTTTTGTGACATTACAAACTCATTTACTAAAATGCGTAAAGCTAATACACAAAAATAGATTTTAATAAATAGATTAGGTAGCGGCGTGTTTACCATTATGTTCCAGGGGGGTCTGAGTCCTAATAAAAGACAATGTAGTCTGGCATGTCTTTGCACATAGATAAAAGTTCTGCTCGTGTCCTAGGGTGGGTACAGACCGCTAACCCCTGTCTTAATGATGAGAAAACATGTAGATACATTAACAGGAAACAGTTATACCTATAAGTATTATTGAATAAAAAAACGATCGTAATATCTGGGCATTGACCAAAATCGACATGGCTTTTCAACTTCAGCCATAATGCAAAATTCATGTCGCGGCATCTACAAACGACAAGGCGCGATTTCGAATTGCGGCCTTTTTGAATGCAATACACAAATGTACCACGTAAGAAAATGTATGTGTCAATTTGTACATAATTTGTATAATGAAACACAAAATAATCCTTAATGCAACATTCGCATAACGATATATGATTGAATCTTGAAGTCTGTTGTCCATCTAAAACTAAACATAAATAAGTAATATATATACATAATGAATGATTTTGCTCTGCAAATAATAGCGAATCTAATCTTGAGAAAAATAATATGGGATCTACAAATGAGTAAACAAGGGAATTGTCAAAATCAATTAAGAGTTTGCAAAGATATACAAGCAAAAAACTTATTGATATTCTCTTTTAATTAGTTAAAATGTATGAAGGAAAGTTACTTTTACATAATACCGACGTAAGTAGACACCAACTAAAATATCCGTTCATCTTAACACACTGCAAAACAAAAGTTCACGCTTACACTTTATTTCCTTCTTTAATTATGAGCATCCAATCAATAATTACACGCCTTTCCTTCGAAAGGCCTTGCGCAAATCTCACGGAAGGTCCGGGATTCTGGTCCAGATTGGGCAACTCCTCGTCGTGTCAAGGTGAGAGCGAGTCACATACCGTAATAAATTTGTTTGTACAGAGACGTAACTGTATCCGCTATACGCCTACGTCAGTGTCTCTGTTTCCTCTAAATAGCCACATAAACAAAATACGAAGATTTCTATAAGTGGTATCGCTGGTAGAAAAATCATTTGGTTTGTTTACCAGCCTATAACATATGTATATTCTGTGGCATCTATAGTATTCTTCATGTCCTTAGACGATGATTACCACTCTCCATCAGATGGGCCGTAAGCTTGTTTAGCATTCTAATTTGCATTACATAAAATAAAGTGTTACTTGATTGACATAAGGAAGATATACAGAAATCTGCATGAGCTCTCGTACCTCTTTTTTACACGTGTCTTTGCTGACAACGCAGTTTTGGTCACATAGCAACTTCGATTGAAAAGTGAGATATGTATGATTATAAAACTTTTATAAGCTAGGTAAAAATAAATTATTTTTGACAAATTCACTCGGGAAAAACATATTACTAGGATAGATTTGTTTCTTACTTCGTATTGCGTCCATCCAGACGTCTCCTTTTGTGAAACCACAAAAAATACATTATGTTTACGAAATCAATGACTTGCACCAAAAATGGTAATAAACAATTTTTGAACATGTTATCTATATCTACCATCAGGTTTTGTACTTTCGCAGAAGGGTACCTACATCCGAGTATGGCTTCAATCAGACATCTTGCTCTCAATAATCACTCACCAACTGGCTATAGTTAACAATTAAAATTAATATGTTCAGTAAATATAGCCATGACATTATATTGATCGGTCGCAGTGTATTTTATAGCTGAAATTATAAAAGTATCCAAGTAGTATATAGTACAATAATGATATTGATATAACATAAGACTTGTGCATAACTAGATGTTTCCTGCGATTTTACTCCCTTGTATTAATATTTAAAATATCCTATTCGTTAAATTTCGTTAAATCCTTATGTACAAACAACCATCTAGACATCAAAACTTCTTTACAAATGTTGGCGTTTATAATATTAGGTAGTAAGAATAAGCATTCACACATATATTGCTAATACAATACTTGGGGGGAAGGGATTGTTAGTAATGGGGATCAATATACCCTATCAGGTCGACCTCCACGCGGTTCCCCCTGGAAACTATCGTGACTAATTTATCGTTGAAATCATCACGATGGGCTGTGACTAGCCTTTTCATCCTCACCTCTCAGTGGTACCTCGGCAATGTATACCGATAGCGCAAACGGGGTAAAAATGCCATTTTCACTCATTAAAAGATACAATACTTATAACAATATAAATTAAATACAGCCGTTAATTTTCTGTCAATATTGATAGATAAGTGGATTATTATTTTATTTGTATCTCTAGCACAGACATAGCAATAAAAATGAATGAAATTACACAAAAAAAGACATAAAACAGCAATAAAAACTGAATTCGTGTATGTGCACAGTAAGACAAAATGGTCACAACTCAGTTTATTGCTTTGCCCTCGAAAGAGCAAAACACCGATATTTTACTGTACCACTGAACATATGACACAGCGACATCTAGTTTCAAACTAAGCAAAAACTGTACTATTGTTACTAAACTGCTGATAGACATACTAAAATACTATCATATGATACATAAAAAATATCCAGGTCAATACAAATATACATACTCATGAATTCAATTGTTTGTCATGTCTGAAGATCAAACCTTCGACCTATCTTTTACCTATAGTAAAAAATTACACTTGACAATTTCATTATAGATACCTTACAAAATAGACGTACGAATATAATAGCTAAACCTCCTACAGAGTTCCTAAATTTATCAATAATATTTCGAGTAACTAATTCGTTTAAAAGGGTCCTTACCTAAATATACAAATTCAATTGTCATTATGCAACGATGACTACTGAGTAAAACGGTTAACTTTATAATATATTATACGAATAACACACAGATCTTTAGAATCTTTTATCTAATGGTTACCTACTTATTCACTTTTTCTACATTCCAAGGACAAAATGAAATGGTACCATAAATATTACTCCCACTTCATTTCATTATCAATTCACTAATCCTGCTTACGCTAACCTACCTATATAGGGGGGAAAGGGATTATTAGTAATGGAGACTAAAAATCCCATTGCTAGTAACATACCCAACCAGGTCGACCTCCTCGCAGTTCCCCCTGGAAACTATCATGGTTAATTCCTGTTGAATTCATCATGATCGACTAACTGGCCACTTTTCATTCTCATCGATCACCCATCACTGGCGCCCCGCCAGGGTATACCGATAGCGCAGACGGGGTTACCATTCCATTATCACCCATTAAAAAAACCTACCTATATAGCGTAAAATTTATTGTAATTAAGTAATAGATAGCATATTACATTAAAATTAATTAATAATATTGATGATTAAATATCTTCCAGTGACAACTCTATGTTTTGTTGAAATTTATATCATTTATAATTAAAATTGTATTCCACAAAAAAGGTGACATCAGTTATTGCAAAACTAGTTATTTTAATTTAAAAACTAAACTGCTGAATCAATTTTGATAAAATTTCTATGAAACCAGTCTGTAAGTATATCTATTCAGATAAAGAAAGAATTTCCCAAATTGGTATACGACTGATAGAGTTATGAGGTAACCAACAATAAAAAAAATACAACTGAAATACCTCCTTCTTTTTTAAATCGCTTGAAAAGTAACATGCTCCACAAAATTCACCTTTGTGTAATAAATTTATTTAAAAAAAAAGTATTTTCTTTTTATTTGTCCTTATTCTTATTCATGGTCATAAAATTTGCATACCCACTAACTAGATCACTGCGTCTTTTGAAGGCTAAATTGTAAAAAAATATGACTGCTTCCCGTAGCAAATTGGTCGTTTCGAAACAACTTCCTCGAAAGGAGGTATTTACTAGTGCTTTAAAAATTTATGCAATTACAAGTACCTGTATCGAGCATGGTATCGATTTTTTATTGAATAAAATGTAAAGCACTTCTTATTTCTGACATGTGACAGGATAGGCGCCATACATGCTATTTCTTATACCAATTAGTCTTAAAAGGAATGTCATATAATGGCGAAATCAATACTTGCTGCGAAACTAAGTATGAAATTAAATTAAGTTAAAATTAATTTAATATATACTATCAGTTACCCACTAGTTCACTGACAATTTGATTGACCAACCAGTACCACAAGGACAAAGTAATTATTGCCCTCAATGCTAAATTTAATAACGATTGATTAAGATATCAATAATAAAGATAAGTACTAGTTCTTAGACGATACCTAATATCCTATTAGTATTATAAATGCAAAAGGTTATAAAGATGGATGATGATGTTTATTACTCTTTCATGCATAATCTACTGAACAGATTTAACATGGGCGCAATTGCAGGATCACAGTTATTATTATAAATGCGAAAGTTTGTAAAAATGGATAGATGAATGTTTATTACTCTTTCATGCAAAAACCACCAAACGAATTTGAATGAGATTTAGTACACGAGTAATTTATTTATTAATTTCACACAAAGTACGTTATGTACTAATTCACGCGGGCGAAGCCGTGGGATACATCTAATACTGCATAAATCTATTAAATTGAAAACAATCAATTTAGCATTTAACGAGCTTTTATAAGAGAACACTTGTCTCCATTATTTATATGAAAATGTACGAGCCTTTGTCTTAATATAAAACAATCAATGCAAACGAATACAATACATGACAAAGTACTCGGTTTACAGACGACCGTAAATCCGGTCATAAACGCACACGCAAATTATATTTGATTAATTTGTTGCGACAATGTCGTACGACGGCTCTTGTAACTTATGTTATTTCCAATATTCAATTAAAGGCGTTCTAATTAAATTACTTATCGCCACTTGG